GTTAACAGTTGTTCGTTTTGCCAGATGGTTCAGTTTGAGTTTGGGATGACGGTAAAGCTTCGTGACATCCTTGCTTTGCCTTTGCACATCCTCCAACAACCTGGATTTAACTTAGACTGAAAAAACCAGAGTATAACCTCTTATGGAATTGCATCTGTTTAAGTTGTCACACTTTACAGTAGCATGGAAATAACAAGTGGGTAGAAAAAGACTGATATCGAGGTAGATAAAGGTGCATGGGAGGAGAAACCTTTTGATGATTAAGGTTTGACTAAAAGCGAGTACTGCCGCTAATTAAAGGACCTGAACCAATCTGCTTCACATGCCCAGATTATGTCTGTAGATAGAAATGTGCACATAATTTGTTTAGTATGAGGTGAGTTTTTAAACGGTTAATAAAGACTACTGGCTACAGGTCAGACATCTACCCTCTCATTAACAAATAGCAAGCACATTGATTTGTGTAAGTCTCTTACACAAGGAATGTAAGCTGATGCAAACTGTATCAGTCACCAATAGACTAGTGTTAGTGAAATAAGTATCTGAAGTTAACGGTGTACCGTTTGACAGTCCCCAGAGGTGGTTAGATCACCGAGTAGATCATTTCAAGTATCAGTTTAGATAACTTGTTGCTCCAGAACTATCACTTAGTATATTTTCCTTCTTTCACTGTCCATTACCACTGCAACCCAGCGAAGAGGATTTCCGAAACAATCTCAAACTTCTGGAACTCGGAGTCTCCTTACTCGAATGCCTGTGGGCATGTTACGGCCTGTGACGAGATGTCGCGTGATCTGTAAACATCAAGGATGTTCACTCTCTCCATTCTTATTCAACCTTATCATAGATGTTTTTGTGGAGGTCTCCCTTTCGTCATTTGACTACATGGATTGACCTAATCACAGGAAAATTTTCGGCAGACCTAGAATATGCAGATGATATAGTTCTGTTAGGGAAAGGCGCAGGCAAGAACAGTCTTCTGGACACTTTGAGTGACAATTTGAGAATATTTGGGATCCGTTTTTCGCCACCCGAATTCGAACTGTTGCTCCAGGACTGACCTTTAGCTGTGTCCCGGGTAACAGTAGAGAGTGAAGTGGTTGCATGCGCTTGATACCTCATTAGTTGAGAAGTCGGACCAACCCTGGTGGGTCAGTATCCGACAAAGTTTCTTCATGGACACAAAAAGCCCTATCCATTTTCACCGACTTACACCATCTGTGGCACCACCGCAATATCTATTAAAGGTCGAGTGTACTGTGTTGCAGTCCTCCTATTTCTACTCTGACTGTGAAAAATCGTCATTAAAGGTAAAAGATATGAGAAAGCTTATGGTGTTTAACCACTGCTGCCTTCGTAACATAGTCCGTGTTTCGTGATGTCACTACGTAACACAGAAGTCAGGCGTAGAGTTTTATCGAGGAGAGGTAAGACAGTCGATAAGGTTATGAAATTTTCATTGATTGAGATGGCTGCGACATACGTTGAGCATGCCTAGTAGCACCGCCTGACTCAACGCGCAATGTCGGTCGAGGTAGGTTCAGGCTAGCAAAAGGCTCAGACTAAAACATAGCTTCACTGCATGAAGTCCTTGACTATTCGTTTTAACCATGTAGGGCGATGCAGACTAGTCGAGTGGGGTCCACGTGATAAAGGAAACCAGTGGTTGGAGACTCAGAACAGATGTCATTGGCGCAGATCTATACACACATTATTCTCATCTTAACCGCCATACGTAATCACATCATTTTCTATGCCTCCCTCCTCTCTTTTATTACTTTCTACTCCTTTTGATCGATTTTTCTTTCCTTCTTCATCTTCCATTTTATTGCCTTGTTACTTAAAGGGCTGATATAGATTGTGGCAACTCGAATCGTTACACAGTAATCCCTGGTCCTATGTTGATCTCGGCGATGATAATGAAGTTCATTAATCATCCTCCACTGTCGTTAAATAACTCCGGTACTAGGGCGTCTGGCTCTGCTGCCGTCCATCGTTTCAGATTACTCACAACTTTTGCAATTGTTAGGGGCCCTATCTCGGTGTTCTGTGGACGGTCGGATTAGATAAGGACACAGGAATAGTAGATGGACACCAGCTGCACTGTTCCTCAGTGTTTCGCCCATCATTTCAGTCGTTTTATCTGTGAGTGAATCACTGACCTATCCGTATCCGGCATAATCTCCTCAACCACTGACCTTTTCACCCCAGTTTCTTTGATAAATCTGGCTAACTGTCTACCATTAACTATCGCCGCAGTGTTCTCCATCTCTTTAGCCTTCACTACCCGTCACTGTTTGTGGTCATTGGGTAGACTTCTTATCAGTTTAAATTTGAGTTGAGCCTCATTGAGCTCCGAACCAGCAGGGATGCGTTCACGTGCATCACTTAATTCAGAAGTTGCTGTGAGTCGCTGGTGCTTTCCAACCACTTTCTGAGAATCAGCCATGGTCTTCAACGCTTTTTTACATCATACTAGAAATGGCCTCTTTTAGACTAGTGTGTTTTTTTTTTACCAATAACTGTCTACCCAGTTGCTCGCTGAAAGTAGCCTTAGTATTTTCATCGTGAAGCAGCACTCAGTGATCTTGCTGGCGTAGTTTTCCCATGACCGTTAAGGCGCAAATAAACGCATGATTGCCATCCAAACACGTGCTCTAAAAGAAGCGGAAACCTTCCGTCGACAGTCTTCAGTGATAACTGGTAGTAATTTAGTTCATCTGCTACCATAGCTGTTTTGAGATGGGTGGACACCATGTCAGATAATACCTCCCTTTACATCTGAAGTTTATGGTTACCGTAAATAAATAGCTCTGTGTACACAATTGTAACAAGCGATGTCCGTTTTCAATTCGTTCGACTGGGAACCTGACATAGCCAACTAAGTGCTTTTCTGCCTAACTTAGCCCATTCAGTTGTGCATTGCAATCACCTGCTAAGACAACCATATCTGAAAGGTTGACTCTCAATAAGAGGTTATACAGTTTTTGGTAGAACTCATCCTTCACTTCTTCCGAACTACAGTCAGTGGGTGCATGAGCAAAGATTACAAAGAAACAACCGTGGGTTTTACTACTCATTTTAGTCCTCACTCTGCTATCCAGTGGAACAACGCATAGACGACTGTCAACTGGGACTTAATCAAGCACTGAACTTTCTGCCTTAGCACTTAATGCTATCTCTACACTTGCAAAACTGCAAGAACTAGCCATCGAATCTCCAGAAACTTGAAGTGTGAATTTTGCAAATTCACCGTATTAGTCGACTGAGGTTGAGTGAATAGCCGCATGTGCCTGACAAATACACCACACGTCCATAGTCCTAGGTGCTAAAGTTCTAGCTAACAAATTTTATTATCTGATTTTTCGGAGGGTACAAACGTTGGAAGTTCCAATATGTTGTTCGGAATGCAGTTTTAAGAAACTGTTCCGTTAAATAAAATTGTTATAAAGAGCTTCAGAACTGGAAGAGATTAAAGATTTAGGAAGGTTGATCAAGATATGTGGAATAAGACTAGACTGTAAAGATGCGCAAGATTGGTATAATCTGAGGAAACTGGAGTGCTGTTCGTGGCTGCCCACACCGTGGAAAGCCAAATTTTCTTGAGGCACCTGGCTATGACGTTGGGTTATTAATGGTGGAGAATGACCTCAAAGACCAAGGAATATCTGCTTGAGACTGATCATATATAGCCTTTTTAGAAGTCTGAAGTTTCTTAGACTGGAATTTGACTATAAACCCATATCTTTGACACTGGTATTCCATGGGGTAGTAGAGAGTGCGCTATTTTTATGACCAACCTTTTCTAACCTACCCTCCCATAGAGAAAATGACATCTGTATGGGACTAGTGTCACACACCCATCCAGTTAGCAGTGTAACTTCGCCCTTAGACCTTCATCATAAGCCTTGTAATTTACGCTAAGACAGTAACTTCTTTTTGTCTAACCACTACCCAAATGACCTTTCTGGTGGTGTAGGATCTGAAGGGAACAAGCGTCCCACCAGCCTAGCTTGATAGTGTCATTGTGATTTGCAAATCCGACCACTACAATAAGTAGCAGCCTAGCAAATGAAAGCCTGTTCCAGGTCGAGTTCTTGCAATAACAATAATCCCAGAAGTTCGAAGTCAGGTAGTTAACAATGGATCTGGCTCGATTGTTCGTGGTGTTTCAGAATAACAATATAGTTGAAGTTTTGATCTGCTATCAACAGGGAGGCTTTCCAACATTCAGTATGCAAACAGTTTTATCCGGCAGCATACATACAAGTCATTTAAACCAGTTGGCGATCGTCATCCATTTGTGCTGTCCATTCTCTGTGCTACTGAAATACAAAGCTAATGTGTGAAGATATGTAAGATTAAGGACAATTGTGTTGGTTCCTAGCCTGTTACTGCATCCTGATCTTCCAGTGAAACTGGAACGTAGTACCCATCATTTCAAACATCCAAGCGTTATCTGCTAGACCACTGAGACTTTAAATAGGAGAAAGTATGTATAGTGGATACCATTGTAAGTCATCAAGATGAATACATGGACATGATGAATACCCGGCAGTATCGAGGCATCCGCATAAGAGGCTATCTGCCAACAGACATCGAGTAATTCGATCCACTATAGCAACAGGAAATTACACATCAATAAATAACATAAATACAATTACTTTTAATATGAATTGCGGAAGAGATGCGAAAGTATCAACTTTGATCAAGATTTAATTGGAGACACAAATTACCATTCATTAATAGTTATGTCATAATGTTTAAATACATTCACTAAATCTAAATATACCTTTCTTTCAGGTTTTCCTAGTTGAATGGACAAATTCCTGTTCGAAATAACCTTTTTTTTGAAAAAATTACATCTGTCAACTAGTCAACTCATCAACTTTTCTTCTTTCAAAGTTTCAGCAGTATATCTAATATAAAGTGTTTTTCAACGTCGAATTTAGATGGCAAATTATGTTCATATCGTCTTCCAGATATTGAATTAAACGCCTATGTCATTATTCAAAATTCGTGATATTTGGTCAACTCAGGTGAATAAAGTCAATTCGTCACATGATGAGTTTTGTCTGAAATTAAGCCCACTTTATAAACTAAATGCATTACAGCATTTTATTCTAGTTGGAACCTCCTCTGGTATGTTGTCTATCTTTCTACCTCGAGCTGGTGATTATACTAATGCTGACGATTTCGGTTATCCATCACAACACTATAATGATTTATGTCTTGAATACAATATGGACGAGCCTATATTATCTATCGATTGTGGTAGCCTTAATGTAGAGTTATGTCAGTATCAACAAATAGCAGTACTCCATCCACAAATGGTATCTGTGTACAGTTTTACAAAATCGGAGGATTCAATTCAAGAAGGGGATTGTGAAACTTTTTCATTTGATTCATGGAGACTGACTAGCTTGTTTAAGCATGACTTTAAAAAACCTTCGTTTAACATGTCTGTTGAAAGATATTTTACACATACTCAAACTGATATTATCCTTGTACAGAGTATCGATGCATCCCTTTGCTTTTTCAATTTATATGGAGCATTATTTGAGATAACTCTAGGAAATATTCTTATACCGGGTCCTATAGTTTTTCTCAATTCTACACAGTCGCTACTAACCAGTGACTCAAGAAAGTTATATTGCTTCAGTTTCATGTATTCAAGTACAGAACACTCGCGCATTCTATATGATGAGAATAAAAATATCTCATTAGATTGGTCTTTACTTTTTGAAGAACCAATATTTAACATGCAGAAAATTGATTCAATATATACGGCGACTAGTAGACACTCTCCGTTATCGTATATAATTGCACTGGGTAGGAGAAGAGTTTTTCTCATCTCAGAAACTGGTTCACTATTGTCTACTCGACGGATTGATGCTTCACCAAAACACTTATGTATGTATGGATATGCAGAAGTAGATCCACTTATTGCTAAAGAAGACTGCTCAGGAAGTAATATGCAATGCATGCTCACTTGGCAGCCACGTTATCTGGTCACGACAGAGAAGAACCAACTACTTGTATTTAAAGTAATACATATGCTACCTTTGCCCTGGATTTGTTAAATTATAATACTTTATCACTTACACATCCATTTCTATCATCTGGCGACATTCATCTTACTTCTCAGATTATTATCTCAAAATGGAACACATTACTTTTGAGACTTTCGCTAAAGTAAAAGCTATCAGATGAAATAACTCAGTGGTATAAACTCCCCAGTCATTCAAGCTGGGAACTGTAAAATACTGCTATTTTCTTATCATAAACAATCTACTTTGCGAAATTGAAATCCACTTAGCAACCTTGTGTATATTCGTATAGTAAACCATAAGTTAAACCTATTGTATGTGGGCTAATGATACCACTACCTGGTTGCCTAAACCACAGTAGGTGGAGCGTTGTTAAAACTTGTGACCTATTGCTTCAGAGCTAACTCTCTGAACCAGTCAGCCACAACTTCATAAGTTACAAAATATCACCTGTAAAATTCGATAGTGTTGCTATTACTCCATATTGAGATAGGTGTAGTCTGGCCAATTCTCCTGTTGTTGACTTCCCCACCAAAGTAGAAATGAATTAGTCAATGAGAAGAATAATGATGGAAGAATGGCAACGTAACGCAATAGGAATCTGTGACATATCCTTCCATTTTATAGCCTTTCAGAAGAAGTTCATGTAATAGTGTATCTTTTTAAAAATAGTTGATTTTCTCCACTTGACATTCAGCATTATAAATCTGTGTTTTGGAAGAATAACTGTAATGATGTTTTACCACACGAAGTAGAAATAGTTTTATTTATTTCTTCTCCCCATTTTAGAGTTTTGTGGGGATTTATTTATTAATTTCAGGTTGGCATTCATCATGGACTGACATCAGTTGGAGAAACATTAGAAACCTGGGGGGCACTCAACGAAGGCATAGGATGGAGGTAGCGCTTTGTCGTGAACCGAAAGAAGGAGAAAAATATGGGCCACTGGATTGAAACCAGTGACTTAGTGATAATTTTTTCCTTAGCAGCGGGACTTTAAGACCCTGGGTTCATCCGTGGTAGGGGGAGTCATGGGTACGCACTGCTGACGAGTCCTATACTAGGATGAAACAGTTGTCCAGTGCTCTCAGATTTCCAATGTCTCCTTACTTTTTGTTGTCAATCCTTTATGATGTGATTTTCTTGCCCATCTAGGGAATTTGTAGTTGAACACTGTGAATTCAACTGTTAAATGAAGCTATTTTATCAAGATAGTGAAAAGATGAGTAATACCGCACAATGATATTAACTACCATGACTTTTCTATTGTGCTATACTGTCGGTGACTTGTTTTCTTTGACTTTTCAGTCTATGAATAATGTCTTCTTCGAAACTGTGTTAATGCAACTTTTCATATATTTCTCAATATAATTCAATAGGTAGCCATTTTCCAAGAAGAATTTCTCGAGTGGAAGATCTGACAGGTCAACTTTTGATAGCACAATGAGCATAGTCATCATCATCGTCGATATCAATATAGAACCATGCATTACTGCAAAATGGTTCAAGTTGCCATACCTCATACATCAGCACAACAAATAACAAAGTCAGTAAGATGAAAAATAGAGCAAGAAAGAGAACTCGATCAAAAGCGGTAGAATGCAGTAATAGAGAGGAAGAAAGCATCAGATAATACTGATTTCAGCATAGCATGAATATGAATATGAAGTGTGCAAACATTGCCACTAACGGCGATCCCCGGCTATACGGCCTAAGGTCTCCAACCACTGATTGTTCTTACCACGCGGACCCCAATCGGATAGTTTACATCTCCAAACATGGCTCAAACCAATATTCAAGGACTCCATGCAGAAACGAAAGAGAAGGAATGTACTCAGTCACTTTGTGCACATCCGTACGGTAAGCAGTCAGCTACACCAATTGTGTGAGGGCTAGTGATACTCCCTGGTTGGCCAAACGTTGGTAGGTGGAGCGGGTTCCGAACCTGTGAGACAGTGGTTGATAGCTATCTCCTTAAACCCCTAAACCATAGCTCCACAGACTCCATGCACTGATGCCCTGTTTGAAGCTGGCCACCATCAGCCTTTTTCCAACCTCAGACTATTTCAGCTAACAACGCGATGAGGCAGACGGTGACTAGGCCTGCGGCGCGACAAATGGCTTGAGTTGGCGAAAGTTAATCGAGCCTTTTGTATGCTTGCAGAGATTTCGTCGACCACTGACCCACCACTTCTGATCTGACTTCCCAGATGAGTCAAGTGGTCAACGCAGTCAATCACTTCACTGTGTATTTTTAGTCACGGCACCACTGAACATCAGTCGTGGCACAAAAACTTGTAATTGAGTGGTTAGGAACGGATCGCAAACATTTTTAATTGTTACATTAAGTGTGTAGAACACTCTGCATCTTTTAGGAGGTTGATGACGAGTGAAAAGACTTTGTAGCATTCTTTGTATCAGACACGCTATTCAAGACGTCCATCGTTACCTAACGTTCCTTTTTTTGTCGTATGTTAACGATTTTTTTTGACATTATATATCAAAGAAAAACATCTTTTCACTGATGTCTAGCAAACTCATGTGACATGTTATTTAGTTTGATCTAGTACATCAGCGGGTGATTTCAAATATGAAAAAATAACAACTGATACGCTTTTCACAGTAGGTGGTCATCATTTCCTCTATGGTCTAGTGAAGAAAGCTTTGACTTTTGAAGCAGTGGCTATTGGTTTAAAGTTTCAATCATGACACTATCACTCCCTGGTTCGTAGTTAAATTCAGCTGACGATTTCCAAATAGGATGAAGCACGCGTCCTGATGTCGACCTAGTACACTACAACATCATGAATATTCAGGTAGTACCGAGGCATTCATCAACCTCATTCAACAGTTATGTGATGATGCTAGATGTCAAATGATTCACAATGGAAAGCTCAGCAGTGGCTTTGAAGTGAAGACAGGTTGACAGGTAGGACAAGGTCGCATACTATCACCGATGGTCTTCCTGATTGTGGTCGACTGGACAGGAATGGATCATGCAACCAGCAACTGTGAAAATCTGTGAGAAGATGGGCATACGCTGTTTGACCGATGAAAAGAGCCTAGAAGATTTGGATTTCGCCAGCGATGATAATTTATGTCTAATGTCTTGTCACACAAACTCGAAAATCTACAGGCGAAAACTAACAAGTTGGCAGAAGAGGCAGGGCAGCGAAAATGGTACCTCAGGTGAACGTAGAGAAGACGGAGGTGATGAAGATACTGAACCAACAATAGCATCAGTAACCAGCACCAATCACCTTCGGCGGGAAAATCTAAAGGAAGTGGTCTCTCTCACCTACCTACCTACCTAGGCAGCATCGTTTCAACTACAGGTGAGATAGGCACAGATGAGGATGTCGAGACCAGGATCGGAGAGACAGCAAGACAGTCCTTCCTTCACTAATCTGAAATCAATGTGGATATCTACTGCACTGCACTCAGCATAAAGAACAAGATCCGGATTATCAACATCAGTGTTAAGTCAGTTCTTCTGTATGGTTCAGAAATTTGGCGCATTACGAAAAGCATTTGCAACAAACTGCAGACATACATCAACAGCTGCCACCTACGCTCATTTGATACTGGAGATCGATTAGACGGGCAGAATAATAAGAATAAGCGATAAGAAACTTACTCTGCAATGAACCAACCAAGAACTTATCACCCAACAAATATGCATTTGAAGAAAGTGGAGATGGATTGGATTGGACATACACTGAGAAGACGGTTTGGGGGTATCACGCGACAGGACAGGCCGTCAAGTGGAACCGAAATGGTAATGGGGAACGACGATTTGGGCGTCTGAGGGCAGTGTGACATGGAGGAGATGGTGTGAGGAGGAAATGAAAGCCTGTGGACAGTGGTGGAGCCAGGTTGAAAAACTGCAGCTAAGAGAGTGAAATGGTGACGTGCTATTGAAGCCCTATGTCCCACTAGGAACCCAAGGGACAAGTAATCATATATATATGCAATGACCTTGTCTATTCCCAGGCCTTACTAGATTTGAATCCTATTAACTAATAATTAATATAGAAATAGTATTCATCATGGACTGACATCAGTTGGGGAACCATTGAAGACCTGGGGGCACTGGACAGTTGTTTCTTCCTGGTATGGAACTCAGCGGTATGCACCCACGACCCGGCTAGGGATGGAACTCACGACTTTCAGATCTCACGGCGAACGCGTTAACCATTTGGCCATTGGGTCGTGTCCCATTAGTTCACAATTTCTAACTTCTCTCAATTCGCGATGTAGCGTGACTATCACCCAAGGTCTTCAGTTGACATCCGCTTTACTTCCGATTGGCTGACACCACGAGTCATGGCTTCTCATTAGAGCTTCGTGATATCCATCTGGAAGCAAGTCACTAATGGGCGTACTACTGAGGAGTCCCATACTAGGACGAAACAGCTGTCCAGTGCTCTTAGATTTCCAATGGTCCCTCAACTGATGTCAGCGGATGATAAATACCTCTAAATTAATAATCCCCATTCACCTTAAAACTGTAATAGTTAATTATTAACTAATGGTTGATAATTATCCTCCGCAGAAATTCTTACGGACACACAAGAAACGAAAAAATAACATTCACACGAGTACGAATAATAACGACAACACAAGTAGAAAGGAGTTCAAAGCATGCGTTGTGTTACCCTATAAGGAGGGTACTTCAGAAACTTTACGTAGGATCCTTAACAAAGCTGGAATTAGGATGGCATTTAAATCTACAAACTCACTCGGAAATAAACTTTGTCGGCTTGAGGATCCGATAGAACCAATCAGCCAAAACAATTTAATCTATCGAATTCCATCTAATGATTGCGAGGTCAAGTACAATAGGTCAAACGAGCCGGTCGATGTCAGTTAGGTTCGCGGAACATAGTAATTTAGCTAAATATAGAATGACAGACTCAAATAAGATCAATAATCTAGAAAAAAAAACTCGGCTGTTGCAATGCACGCATTAACACACAACCACACAATAGGGTGGGATAAAGCCACTGTACTTAAGTCAAATATAATGAGGGGGAGAAAGAGATTGACTACTGAATCTTTGTTCATCGAATCAACATTCAACACATGTAATAGAAATGATGCAACACCTATACCAGAGATATAGAAAACTATGCTACCAATAGAAACTAACAATATAACCTGTTGAAAGTGGTGTGACTACATTGATATGATTATTAGCAGTGATGATTTATGCTGGAAACGTCTTCATCAAGTAAATAATACTAGATCACTGTATGTTATAAATCAAATAAACAAATCTAATATGGATTATGATATTCTACTGCTTGTCATATCAGTTTTCTCAGTAGTTTTATCTGGAACTCATATGTAAACTTTCTTCGATTAAAAATAATTGGTAATGTGCTCAATACTTTTTAAAAAGGAGCCAATTTTTTTTTCTCCTTCAGGGTACAGAACTCTTGTGGTCAGCATTACTACCATTTTATCAGTATCGTCTTTCCATGCCAATCAACACACCGCCATCTAATCGATGTGACAGTAAAACACTTCCAGTAATTGGAGAACATTTTCCGCCTGGTTTAATTGTTCTCCTCAATTCAAATGGAGAATAACTTTATCATATCTTGGTACTGATCCATCTGAATTAGTTGCTTCAATAAATATTTTTGAAACAATTTCAAATACTACTAATGATGCACAATTGAATCAATTGAACACTGAAAGCTTTAATCGAGATATGCAACAATTAAATAAACGTATTGATCAACTCAAAGACAATTATTCATCTTTATTACTCAATGGTAACTATGATAAACACAAACAATTTAAGAATATTCCCTTGTTAAAACTTAAAACAAACATTCGTCGTGATAGTTTCAAACAATCCAATGAAATCGGTAGTCAAGTTTGTTTTATTGATGTCAAAGTTGAATTTCCGAAAAAATACCCTAGAGAACAATTTACTTCTGTTTACCTTCTAACTCATTCTTGCCCACCAACTATGATCAATCCAAATTATATTTATATTTCTTCAAATCAACTGAACAATCATGATATTAATTTAAAGAATCATACGATTCCGTACATATATTCCTGCACGTTGACATGTAGCGGGATTATGAACAATGATAACGATGATGACATTGGACAAAATGTAAGAACTCCATTACACAGTAATCAACCTCCATTAGATACGATTGTGATTTTAATGCTTTACTATACTTTTTCACAAGTGAACTCCAACAATAATATTTCATCATCCCCTTTAAATCATTCTACTACAAAGTGTATAAAAAAGTGCATAAAAATCCCATTATGCTTATTTACATCGAGTACCATTGTAAGTAAAGATGAAATTGAAGGAAAATTCGCGTTAACTTTTCGATTATTATCAAGGTTGAATAATTTAAAAGATAATTTACATTTATCAAATTTATTTCCAAATTTATGGCCTCAGAATTATACTACTGGTTTAAATGATAGTAGTATAAGTAATAAACAACAAGATTCGACAATTTGCGTATCATTTTGCAAATCAAAAGGAATAGTGGAACGTAGTGTTCAATGCATATACATTTCAATAAAATTACAGAAATGTCAGCTTAAGCTAAAAAGTAATTATCCTGAAACTTTCTGGCCAATTTTACAAGAACTTGTTTTCTACAATAATCTTATAACCGAACTTAAAAAAGGCAACATTAATAATAATAATGCTTTCTTGGTGATAACCATCTCCACATGGTATTATGCAAGAATAAGGAGGTAAAAACAAGAGTGATCGTGTTCCAAGAAGAACGACGTCTTTATTCTATGAGTATGCTTTGCAAATTGAACCATTCTTCGACCAATTGTATGTCTATCTAGTTAATCATATGGAGAAACGTGTTCAGTTAATTAACGAAATGGCTAAACTTACTATACAAACTAGACATTTCCACGATATTCAAATGGAAATTATAGAGAGAACGAAAAATAATTTACCAGATTGCTTGCATGGATTTGATATACTGTTGAAACGAGACTTGACTAATGTATCCGGTATTTGTGATTCACTTGAAAATTTAACAGAGGAATATATTCAAACTGGTATTTCAGTAATATCATTAGTTGTTCTACTAAGCTTTATATGTTTATTCTGTAAAGAAACTTCTTATCTCTCTTCATATCTGATCTCCCTGTTTATTTCAATGCATCAGTTATTGAAGAACAGTTGAATCTATTTGAACCAGCGCATATGATGAGTATATTAAATTCAACGCGATTACTTGAAAATAGTCAAGATATACAATTGCCTGAAAAGATTTTATCCAGTGAAATTTATGCAAAAAATATTCATTTTGGTCTTGAAGAATATTTACAAGCTAAAATTAATTATTTTATAGGAATTATTAATTTAAAGTATACAAATTTAAATCGAAAGACAAATATTCCTACAGATTGCGAAAATCAAGTACATTTAAATTATGATAAGTTATCAACTGTTGAAACTATTCATAAACAATTTTACCATCTTTGTAGAGATTTTATGTCTTGTGATTATAAAGATGTTATCACTGATTTAATTCAGTCGACTATTGTAAATTCTAGGGGAAAATAGATTTTGTTTACTGTTGATTATCATAAGTAGTATATTTTCATTTCAACTGTTTCTTTTTCTTCTGTCAATATATAAAACAAAGTTGCGTTTAATGTTGACAATTTCTTAGTTTGATCGTCAATTTCATCATTTTGACTATCTGAAATAGCCGTAGTTTGGCAGACTAGTATTTATACTTGGTGGTGATTGAAGGTGAGATGATAATTTGGACTGCGACCGGATTCGAACCAGTGACCATCGAGTTACTGAGCCGATCGATGCTCTACCAACTGAGCTAAGAGGTCTGACTACTGACCACATTTTTATTTTTTATTTCAATCACCAAATGTTTTGCCTGACTACCATGTGAATGCGTAATGTGTCACTACTGCTTGATCATATTCACACTGGTTGCCTAGTCAGTAGTTGCTGATTCAAATTCAGCTGCCGTTCAAATTTTCATTTCACCCTCAATCATCACCCAGTATAAGTCGTTTTCTTGCCTTGAAGACTAAATTCAGACATTATTCCTATCTTAACACTGCTTATTTCCTTTCGTTTTTATTATTTTTGTACATAATGTTTAGTTGATTTAATTATAGCAATAAAAGTGCTTTTTTCAAGCCTCTTGTAATATGGGTAAATAACAGTTTTAAGTAAACTCTAAAAGGATAAACGGATAAAATCAGCGTAAAACTTCGTACACAAGTTCTTTGATTGAAGTTGCCACACTTCACAGTAGTATACAATGAATAAGTGGGTAGGAAAAGAGTGATATAAAAGTAGACAACGTTTAGTGAGAGAATAAACTATTTGCAGATAAAGGGTAGAGCAAATGTTCAAGCTTTAGAAGATATCAAGGAATGAATGTATCTGCGCCATTTCGACGATTTTCATCACTAATATTAACACATGACCAGCGATTAATGCTTAGCGGTTCAGGTTGCCATACCTCATATATCAGCACATCAAGTGACAAAGTAATAAGATGAAGATCGGAAAATCGTTTACAATCAGTGGAAAGTCGTAAAAGAGAGAAAGGAATCACATTCAAACTGATCACGTAATCATATGGTTCAAAGAGTTAATATTACTAAGCAGAAATATAACAACTGAAAGCTATTAAATTCAAAAACACAGAGGTTGATCTCTGAATGTGTTACACACATAACAACGCAGAACTTATAATCAACTAAACTTCTCTTCTGAGTAACTGAGAGGATTTGAAAAGGAAATACACATTCTGAAAACTTATTTGTAAAACAACATAAAAGTGTTTGTCATTATATCAAACATTCACTTTGAGTAGTCACTGTATAGTAATTCAGTCCTACTAGCTTTGTAGTCGAATTCTGGAGTCAGTTAGAGAGTTATAATGAGTTCCTTGTACAACTACTTCACATGTTTGAAGGATTACAGAAAACTACTATATGAAAAAGTTAGTCTTTTCTTATAAACTCAAATGACCTTCAGCATATGTAGATCTTATAGCAACAATCTGTCAAATTTTCTTCAAATATTAGCTCATCAGATTTCATGACGCAAAATAAAGTGCTCATGTTAGAAGAACAATCGTAAGTTCTATGTGAGGATGAGTCGAGTCAATTGAGACTGAAACTTATGGCTGTTAACTGCTCACTGAGATACTAATCTCACTTCAGTCACCCAGTGTATGGTCAGTCTATCATATCAACCCGCGTTACCTAACTGTATGTTCATTTTATTCATATTGACATTTCAACGGTGTTTTCCTACCATAATCCAAAAACAGATGAATCATCAGATCATGTACTACACACTAACATTTATCTGCTCAAGTTTCTTGCGTTTACTGAACGAATGCCTGGCACAAAACGTGAGCCTATTACTCTGCACTTCCCTATGCAACAGCGATTCACTCATTTCAATTTTGTAGTTTATTTCTCAACATCCTCTTTCCACACTACTGGTTTTAGGGATTTATTAAACAGCTTCTTTCAAACATAAACCCTCTCAGTGATGCAATTCTACAGACAATTAGATAAGATGACAAGATTACTTCTGATATAGAATTAAACGAAGGCAATGTTGGGTGTTTAGATGCTGGATAATGCAGAATACCCATGCACTCTATTTGGATGTCGCACTTCAGGTCAGCCCAGTTGACTATAACCGGTATATTTACGACGGCAAAACGGTATTAGAGATGAAAACGGGTATAATGTCCAGTAGTTAAGAGAGAATTTGTATTGCTAGATGAGAGATAAAGGAGGTGTAACACCGTTCTGCTTCCTTCCTAAACCGTTTGAAGTGGTACACTAATGCCGTCAACATGGTATTGAAGACAGAAACAACCGAGAGAATGATGATATTGAGTAGACTACGCGGAAGAGAGTGTAAGAGTTTAGCGTTATTCTCATCTAAAGAAAAGTCATCTAAACGCCTAAATAAATCATTCCCCATAGTCAGCATATGTTATCAAACGATCCTACTGAACGTGTGAAACTAATTTATTTGGAATGCGGTATTAGTGGAATGACAAACATCGAAGTCGTACTCACCATTTTCGACGATCAGGCAACTGAAATGTTGAGCCTCAGTCCACTGTGACACTTCAAAGTGTAGCGAGAATAGAAACCTGGAAATGGTCTGAACCACTGCAACTTATGCTGCCACAAATAATCTTGCGATAAAATTTGATAAGGTGACTATTTCATTCGAAATAAGTTTGTGAAATGCCAGCCAAGAGGTATGAAATCTAACTCCGATTATTCAGTTAGCAACCAACACATATCATCTACAGGATTCAGCAATAAATTCATTTTTGTCAGAAATTTGACAAAGAATCAAGCAGCGTATAGTTAATACTAAAACTTAAAACTGGAGTGTTCAAGTTTTTCCGTAGACTTCATATGACTGGGAATGGTAAACTATCCATGAAATATTATCTCCTAATCAATGGTGTTTCTCAGAGTGATATACGCAGCCAAAGAAGTGGAAAACAGCTATATTTACAATAGTTGTCAACCCCCCCTCCCATCTTCACCTTGAATCTGCAACTTGAATACGTACTTATCCGCAGCTGTTTGTTTAAAGTCCCTTCCTATTTCGAATAAAGTTGAAGTTCGTGAAACCTCGAAAATTGCGGCACCCATATCATGTTAAATTGCAGTATGCTCTCAATAGGCATGAATTTTTTGATCACCTAACTTTAAAACCGATAAGATTGTGGATGATTACTGCGTCACAGTGATGCAAATCGTGGTAATCTGAAAAGTACTAGGTGGAAGAATATCAACTGATAATTTCCCGGGACTATTAGTCTAAGCGAATATCGGGAAACCAGTTATTTTACTCCGAATATCAACAAAAGTCCTATCCACATGATAAAAGTGGTAATAATATATCATAACGGTTATACTTGTGGGCATGATGGGGCGTTTGAAGCAAATTAGTTCCTTAACTTGGCATAGAAGTCCGGTTCGTTCTTATGATTTTCCGAAAAGGAATCCTCTTAGTGTCGACACCAGGTTGAATAAAACCGGCAGAATATTTTTTCGGTAAGTGTAAACATTTTCTTATGAAAACATTTGATCAGGCTTTCTAGCAATCAGGAAAAGTGGAATCACACTGGGTTGGTTAACTCTGTTACAATAATTGAGATAAATGTGATACCTGCAATTATGGGGGTAAACTTAGTTCACAGTGCTCACAGTACTTCTATGTATAAATCTGAATAAGAGATGAAAACAAAATGTGGCACTAGTCGATAAAGTCTAAGCCATGTGGGGAGATGTCGACTACCTGCCCGTCTGGGATCCTTAAGATGATGAGAATCAGTGGTTAAGGACTGACTCTTGGTGATGTGGATGAGAATCAGTCACAATTGCGTAGATATATTCACTCTTTGATGTGTTCTCAAGCTTGAATATTTGCACTAACCTTTGTCTTCAGATTCTTTATTCTCTTATATACCTTTGTCTCCTCTTATATCAGCCCTTTTCTATGCACTTGTTCATTGTATGCCAATGTGAGGTATGGCAGTTTGAACCGATGCACTTGTGTACTAGGTTCTGCGTTGATTTATCTGTCGGACTAGAATATGAGTGCATGTCAGCGCTTACACTGAGATATACTTTTAGGCGAAGACTTTCTGTACACTATGTTACAAGCCAGAAAGCAACCAAAACTATATGAGGCAGATTATATCGTTGAAAAGTTGTGTTAGTAGGTTTTCAAACAACATGTTGCATTCCACACGTTGTCCAGTAAGCAGCAGTCTTCCTATATGTGTTGAACTCCATTAAGTAACTGAAATGCAAAAAATTCACTACAGTGGTCAATTTTCTTTTCCGGTTTACGTTATTGCTAGTGAAATAAGACTTTCCCACCATTGGACACTGAACATCAAATTTTTCTGCCTAAATTTTACGTTCGGACTGTATGTCACAGGTAAATGTTATTAGCAGACTCACATATATATATATATATATATATATATATATATATATATATATATATATGTAAGAAAATATGGTTGCCGATGAATCTATTTTCGTGTAAAATTCTCATACTTTTGCCAATAATCTGTATTCTAGGTCCTGTTTGACTGATCAAATGTTTCAAAACTTAGTCTTCGTGATTCCATATATCAGTAAACATATATTGACCATAAACATTCCTTTCAATGAACTACCGTCCAAATTCACAGTTAGCGATAAACCAAAATGCTCAGCATAATAAAGTTTACTTTTGCAAGAGATGTTTTTTTCAAAAATTAAACGTATATGATGATTAGTTTTGTAGTGTGATGTTTTAATTCATCAATTTTAAGCTAACTGTTATGTAGATGATGGAAGGAAGGAAGGAAGGAAGAAGTCAGCAACTATGAAGGATGAAGTTATTAGACAATCTAATTGCTTCCAAGTGTTCATTTTGTGGCGATTAATTGAAGTTATTCAAAGAATTTCAACGATTTAAAGAAGACATTTATGAGCCACACACACTCAGTAGTGTATTTCAACCAGCAGTTGTCTTCAACT